TCTTCGTTTTCATTTGAAAGTGTCGTTTGAAGCACAAACATTTTTCATTCTGATGAAGTCCAATTCTATTGCACATGTGCTTTTGGTGTCATCTCTAAGAAACCATTTTGCCTAATCCAACGTCATGAAGACTTACCCCTATGTTTTTTTCTAAGAATTTTATAGTTTTTGCTCTTACATTTAGGTCTTTGATCCATTTTGAGTTAATTTTTGTATATGGTGTGTGGTAGAAGTTCAACTTCATTGTTTTGCATGTAGACATCCGGTTGTCCCAACACCGTTTGTTGAAGAGATGATGCTTTCCCCTTGGCACCTTGTTGAGAATCAATTTACCATCAATATAGAGAATTATTTCTGGACTCTAAATTCTATTCTACAGATCTGTATGTCTAACTTTACGCCAGTACTGCACTGTCTCGATTACTTTTGCTTTGTAGTAAGTTTTGAAATCAGGAAGTGTAAGTCTTCCAAACATTGTTCTTCTTTTTGAGATTGTTTTGGCTAGTCTAAGTCCCTTGAGTTTCATATAAATTTTAAGGTCAGCAGTGTGCCAATTTTTATAAAGAAGCCGATTGAGATTCTGATAGGGATTGCATTGAGTAAAATGAACTTTAGGTAGATGTTATGTTATTATTTTATGGGAAATGGGAGTAAACTATCATTTTACTGAGTGGTTTCATGAGACTGAACTTGTGAGAGTTAGTAGATGTCAGCATCTGTCATCATCTAGATCCAGAATTGCAAAATTCTCATTTTGCTTCCTATGTACCTTTCAAAACCACATTTCCTTCTTCTCCTTCTCTGCTCTACTTTCCTGGTTTATTTAGGTCCCCAGCACTTCAAGGAGAAGTCAATGCCTGGCTACAAAGCATTAAAGGACAGGCTGATTCTCTTGGCAGGGGCTAATGCAGCTGTTGACATTAAGTTGAAGTCGGTGCTCATTCTGAAAGTTTTAGGGCCCTTAAGAATTACGCCAAATCTACTCTGCCTGTGCTCTATAAATGGAACAACAAAGCCTGGATGACAGCACATCTGTTTACATCATGGTTTACTGAATATTTTAAGCCCACTGTTGAGACCTACTGCTCAGAAAAAGAGTCTTTCAAAATATTACTCCTCACTGACAACTCGCCTAGTCACCTAAGAGCTCTGATGGAGATGTACAAGGAGATTGATGTTGTTTTCATGTCTGCTAACACAACCACCATTCTGCAGTCCAGGGATCAAGGAGTAATTAAGGTTTATTATTTAAGAAATACATTTCAAAAGGCTACAGCTGCCATGCATAGTGATGTCTCTGATGGATCCAGGCAAAATCAATTGAAAA